CAATTCTGTCTTTCTAGTAGTCAAAGTTCTCTCCATCAAAGACTGGAGGTTTGCCACTGAATCTGTCCCTTTCTTCATTGTTGTCATTGCTGATGTTTTGACTTGGTCCTGCCATTGTGTTTTTCTGACGCTGGCTCTTGTACTGACACGGTTAAGTTTTATAAGCTCAGAACCAGGCGCTCTGATTCCAATTGAAGATGTGAAAAACACAAGAAGGGGGGGTTGAATTGAAAAAACTCGGATTAAATAATAAACAACTTTAAGACACAGTTTTTTTATCCTAGTTCGTTTGATCTCAAACTACTCCAGTCCACCCGTCAAGGTGATTTCGCCTCTCTCCAACGAGGTTTTAATCCACTATTCTCAAAGAATTACAACAGCTACTTTAACAACTGTTAAATTCTTCTTGAGTATAACCACTGACCGGTTTATCTCAAGGAAATATTTTACAAATAATTGAACAAGGCTGTGTTAACGTTTTCTAACAAAACAATATATCGCAACTGTGATAATTACACAACTTAAGCTTGGAATAAACTGAATTTTCTAAAGCGTTTGAATAAGCGTGGTTTTGAAGGATTGACAAATTATGTGAGTTCATGCGTGTGTCTTTCCTCAAGCAGACTTGTTTATATAGGCAAGGCAAAGATACATTGTCCATAAAGCCAGTTTAATGACAATAACGCACTTTCCTTTTGAAAAAGATCTTGTTTGAAGAGAGTCGTTAGTATTTAATTCTGTCTTGAATAATTAATAACGCTTCAGAGTCTTCTTTGCTTTAACTTATGATAAAGCTTCAGAGTGTTGATGACTTGGTAAAGATCTTTGATCAGAGTCAGAGTGTATTTGTTTATGCGCAGATTCTGGTCATCAAGCTTCAGCGTATAATCTGGTAGCTTCAGCGTGTAGCACATATTACTGATCTTCTGTTGCTGATTCCATCAGAGCTTCTGTATATACAAAACATAATTTTAAGAAGCATATTTGTTTTATATATATATATATATATATATATATATATATATATATATATATATATATATATATATATATATATATATATATATATATATATATATATATATATATATATATATATATATATATATATCTTTGAATTTATTTATTCTTTGTATTTTGTTATCATCAAAACTCTAATCAAGGGTTGTAGAATCAAACTATGTTCTAACACAAATCTTGGATGGAATATTTAAGCCCATCTCCAGCAAGATTCTACCATCTCCAAATGGCATCTTTACGCCCATTCCCTCAGCTACATTTTGACGAGTGCAAATTTACGGGCACTCTAGTGTCCAATCATCTTTTACCTTCGAGTCACGAAAGGAAAACTCGCCAATCTAACTCTTCAGGTTCAAGAAGATTGAACAGGGGCAACTGTTGTACCCCAAAATTTGCCCTTTCATTTTATCAAGATTTCCCCTCACAAGACTCTTTAAACTCCAGACAGGATTAGGGTTTTGCTCTACTCAAGACATCTCCTTGCACTGATGACCTAAATTAGGGTTTGAGTTTGCACAAGGATTTTTGGACTTTCAATGCTCAAAGTGACTTTCATACTTCGTGTTGGACTTATAAGATTTCCTCTACCAAGTTTCAAGCCTTGAATCAAATTTTTGCCCAGTCAATTGGACAGTTGACCTAGAAATCAGCTGTATTGGGGAAAAAGTCAATTGTGGCCAATTTACAGTCAAACCTCATAATTTTTATCCACATCAACATTATAGGCTCCTATGAAGCATTTAATCAAGTTTGGACCACAACTCCTCAAGAAATTTGATCAGATCATCAAAAGGGCAAAATGGTCATTTTTAGGGTTTTGACTGCACAAGGGTAATTTCTGATTTTTCACCTAGCCAATGGCAAATTGGGTTCAAGAATGGACTCAAGGACTCAATGGCATCATCTTAACCTATTCACAAGGTTCAAAAGATCTCAAATGCATTGGATTGACAGATGAATTTTCTAGTCAACTGATCAAAATTTGACTGTACTCTGAAAAGTCAAACTTTGACTTTTTGGTCAAAATCAAGTGACAAGGGTCATTTTTCATCAAGATTCACTAAGTTAAAAGTTTCATGGACCCTTGTTCCAAAAATCATAACTTGCGATCCAAGCTTCTTTTGGGAAAACTTTGTGAATCAAAGTTGTAGACTTTGTGGAGGACTACAACTTTCATGTTGGAAGTTTTGTTTGAATCCAATTGTATCATGGTGAAAATGTTGGTCAAAGTTGGGAAAAATTAAGAAAATTTCATAACTTAGAAAAATCTAAGTTATGAAAATTTTCAATCTTAAACCCTAATTAGCAAAATTGGGTTTCTTCATGACCATTTTTCACATAGTTCCACTTGGAATATAAAGATGCATTTTAAATATGGATTGTAGAGCATGTTACAAGCTTTCCAAAATGTCAAAGAACTCTCCAAAATAATTTGTGGTTAGGGAGAATCGAAGGCTTGAAGTTTGCAAAAACTCACTTTTGATCCATGGCATTTTCATATTGATACAAGTTGCAAACTCTAATCAGCCTTGTTTGTACTTGATTACAGGTCCCAAAACCCTTCCATGCTAAATAATTAAATGCAAATCCATTGGTTTGAAGCTTTGTTCTGGTCATTAGAGGATTATACAATAGATTAATCCAAAAATAGTAAAAGGCAACATTGCCATTTTTGTCAAAATCTTGCTTTATGTCAAATTGCATCCTTGAGCCTTGAACCATATCTTGTACAACAAATCAAATCCACAAACTTGGGGCCAAGCTTATACAATGTATGCAGGGTTAGAGCTAGCCTGTACAGGCCTTCTCTTGGTCACTTCTCATTTTGCTTCATAACCAAGAAACTTGTCAAAATTCACACAACTTGGACATCTGAAAAAACCAAGCTTAGCAAGCATTTGAAACAACTTCTTGACATTTCATTGAGCCTAAAACACGAGCCTTTGATCCCTCAAACACTCTTGAACATTAAATCACCTTCCTCTTGCAAAAACAGGGCAGTTCCTGCACTTGGAGTTCCATAGCAAAAACCCCTCGTGCATTTTGCCCCAAACATATTCAAACACCTTCCATATAACCTATCCAAGCTATCCCAACCATTAGGAAGTGACTGTAACTCCACTTGCAAGCTTCACCATTTCTGTTTTTAGCTTGTGCAGGTTGAGTTCTACAGGCTTGTTCAAGCACATCCAAAGAAAACTAGGCATTGGGGAAGGTCAGAGGAAGTTCAAGCAAGCTCCCAAACATCTCAGGCCTCACTGAAAAGCTCCACATTGCCATACACGAAGTCAATTGAAACAGGTTTTTGTCAACTTCCTATCTCTCTATTTAGGAATCATTAGGCTTAGGTTTGTGAATAAAAAATGTAGTATTCATAGCCATGAAGCTGTACATATGCTCAGTTTTCATTTAAGTTAAGCGTGTTAAGAGAATGTGATCCATGAACTTTATGAAAAAGTTAGGTTAGAAATTAGGGCCAGAGAAATTCTCTCTGGTTATTGAGAGTTAGATAAAGTTTCTTATATGGTTGAATTCGTCTTGAAAAATGCTACAACTTTGATGTTATGAGTTTTTGCATTAAAGCACGTATGCAGGATCTTGACATTTGGTACAAGCGTGCGCATTTTTTTGAGCCAAGGTTGAAGACGAAGCTTGGAATTGGGCTGGGCTTTTGCTTCTTGTTTTTGGCACCCCCTGGCTTGCTGACTTCACCCCCCCTGGCCCATTTCTTCATATTTTTATATTTTTGCATTTATTTTTCATTTCTGATTTTATTTTATTATTTCCCAAACATAAAAAATACCAAAAATATTTTTATAAATTTTCACATTTATTTTTGTATTTTATTTTATTTTTCTAACATAAAAATAATTTAGTGAGTATATACTTTTATTTTATTCAATGAAAACTTGAAAATAATACATAAAAACATTATAGTTTTATTTTTGTATTTATTTATACTTAAATAATATTTTTCTAAATATATTTTTATTTTGTATATATTTTATTTTATTTTATTATACATAAATAATTAATATATATTTACTTTCTTAAAAGAAAATTAGGGTTTTTGCCCTTAATAAAAAATATACCTTTTTATTTCTTTAATACATTAAATATTATATTTTTACATACATAAAAATAAACAAAAACATTTTTACATATTTATGATATTTTGCATATTTATATTTAAATTGTTTAATTATTTCCAATTTATTTATTTGTACCAATTATTCAATTTGGATGTAATAGTAAATATTAGGGTTTTATTTTCTTGCAAATATCCCCCATTCCAAAATTGTATCCCCTTTCCCATATCAAATGTTTTAATAGCGTATATTTATTTTACGCACTTTATACTGTTAAATATGCCATGATAGAGATTAGGGTTTGTATGCAAAAAATACAAAATCAAACAAATAGCTGGACTAATATAAAGACAAAGAAGCATGAAAATTGACAACACAATACACACATGCACCCCTAGGGTTTCACCCACTTGTTGCCTTTAAAATGGCCATGTTATGCATGTTGAGTATCTTTGGCAAAACAAAAACAAAACAAAAAGATCATAGTCCCTCGATGACGCTATCATGGTTGCCTAAACAAAATGATCTAGTCCCTCAAAAAAATTTCTAAAGATACTTGGCAATATTGCTATCATGGTCAATACCATGACCCGCGCCTGTCCCGTTTAACATCCAAGTACAAGGTTGTTTACCAAGCAATGGTAAAACAACACTGTCAAAAGGATTAAAAATGTGTAGGGAAGATCTTTGAGTAGATAGGGTAGACAACTCTTAGTTACTTGATCAAAACTTGCAAACCATCCTTGCTATTTTCAAACACACCTCACAACACAATTTTAAAACATTTCCCAAAACAAACTTTCAAACTTTCAAACATTGAAATATCTTTTCAAAAGACGATACACCTTTGTATACATTCAAACAAGAATCATTACAAAGGTTGCCACAACGATGGCCTCTTTTAAAAGAATTTACAAAACCACACACAAAGCACCATTTCAAACAATTGAAAAGCAAAAGCAAGTGATCTAAACAAGTAACTAAGAGCCCATGGATAACCATGGATGAAAAGGGTGCTTGCACCTTCCCTTTTCATAATCTACCCCCCGAACCCAAGAAAACATCTCAAAGGTATTTCCTGTGCTTTTTGACCTTTCCATTGGATAAAATAAAAAGTTGGTGGCGACTCTTGCTAAACAGAAACATTTGCTAACACAAACGCCAAACCTCAAGTCAGTTCTCCCACCGCATCATAGAACTGGCGACTCTGCTGGGGACAATTCTAAAAGTGGGGTTACCTTTAGGTTTTAGATCACCTTTATATACTTGCCTTGTTTGCTTTGATTGCTTTACATTTGGTTCTATTATTTGGGTTTGAAATCCTCTACCTGGATTTGGGAAACATTCATAGGTAAATAGCAATATGTTGTGGAAACTGTGCGGGGTATACTTGTTGTACCCTAATTTTTGACCTAAGATCCCATTTTTATTTTTGCATTTTTAAGATAAGTCAAGGTCACTAAATATGGTCGGTTTTAACGTCTCACCTTCGAGCTTTGACTATGCGAAGATTGTCAAGTGTTTTGAACATTTTAGCATATGTATCACTAATTTCTAATCGCATACAAAGGTGTATGTTCATGTTTCCTTTTGCTTCATGCGCAGAGACAGGTCTGAATCAAGAGCATCAGGTGTCACGCCTCAATTAAGGTTTTGAGTCTCCCAAGCCAGAATTACGGTTGATTATGGACTCTCGAAGACTGATTCATCAAGGCACAACTGTCGCCCCCCCATTTTTCGCCCCTTCACTTTTTTCGACTGGTGCATATTTTGTCGTTAATTTGAAAAATCGATCATTTCGCATACTTTCTTGTTTTTATTCATCATTTTAATTTCTATTAAAAAAAAAGAATTAAAATAGTTTATCATTTTCATTCTCTATCATATTTCTAATGAAATTTTTTAGTTCAAAAATCTGTCTTATTATTATTATTATTTTTTAATCTATTTCTATTTCTTTTAGGTATTACTAACTATTTTCTCCTTTTCTCGTTATTGTTATTATTAGTAGTATCTTTATTGCATTTTATTATTTCATCTTTTATTGTTACTAATTATTTTTATTTTGTTCTCATTATTGTTATTATCATTGTTGCATTTTATTATTTTATTTTATTTATTGTTACTAATACCTTTTTTTCTTCTTCTTATATTATTGTTACTATTATGTTATTATTTGTTTGTTTTTGTCAAAAATAGAGGAAGAAAATTACAAGTTACCACAACAATTTTACACAAGTGTTTGTACAAGAAAACAAAAATCTACACCCAAAGAAGAATTTACATGAAAGTGACCATAACAAATCTGCATCAAAAATCCAAAAAAAAAAAGATTACCATATTAGTCCAAACTCACTGGAATTTCCCTCCCAAAAGTCCCTCCAATTTCATCTCCCATCTTCTATAAAACAATATGAGGGCAGTAGAGAAAAGGGGGGGGGGGGAGAAAATTAACAAAAAAAATATTCCACACACAAAAACTCCATGTAAGATACACACATCACACAATTTCCAGAAAGTTTTCCTTTCTTTGCTTACAACTTTTTGTACATAGTTACACATATTTTTCTAGTAGTTTTTATAGAGTCCACTTCTCTTTTTGAGTCAAACCACCTGACCTCCTCTTTCAAATTCCTAAGTTTCTACATCTTTTGTGGCTTGTTTCAATTTCACGGAAAACTCACCACATCACTAAATTCTCTTCACAACGTTTATCTCTTTCTCTACTCCATAAAACAAAAAAAACAATTAACAACCTTCTTCAGCAATACTCTCTTTCTTCCATCCCTTAACAGGCCGTCTCATTATCACACAACAACAACGCTTCCTGTTCCATTTTTTGCAACAACGTTGGTGCTCTCTTCATCCATGCCATAGCAGAAAACACTACCGTTTCCGACATCCTTCAACCCAACTACGTACCTCCCATTGTTCACTCCTTTTTCCCACTTAACAGCGTTAAAAACCACGAAGCCACTTCACAGCCAACTCTAGCAGTCCAAGTAACGGAGTTAAGTAACGGAATCTTCATTGCTTTCACTATCAACCACGTTGTTTCAGACGGCAAGTCGTTTTGGCATTTCGTGAACTCTTGGTCACAAATCTCAAAAGGTTCTCAGAAAATAACTAAACAGCCTTCACTTCAACGTTGTTTCCCAAATGACATTGAACTTCCAATACGATTCCCTTTCACTAAAAAAAATCACAGAACAGAAGCAGTTCTAAAAAGTTACCAGAAAGAATCTTTCATTTCACCAAGGAGAAAATCGCAGAACTGAAATCAAAAGCAAACGCTGAAGCCAAAACCCAAACAGATGAAACTAAAATATCTACCCTTCAAAATTCTCCATCAAACAGTAACTAACCCCTCTTCAATTTCAACATCACCATCCCATTACAGCAACCTTCTGATTCCCCTGTTCATTCCGCCGTATCCCTCCTCTGCTTCCCTTTATCAATTCCGTCAAACAACATACACTCACCCCACCGTGTTGCACCATTATTCTCTCAAACCCTTACCCATTCCACCGTTATCGCCGCCATCTGTAACATAGTCGAAACCCCACCTCTGTCTCCACCATATCCATCTGTTTTTGCCACCCAAAACCCTTATACATTTCTTTTGTCTAACAGGTTCCTATCCACGCCGCACCACCGCCAATCCCGGATCCGCTGCGCCACCCTATGTTAGAGTCGATCAACACTTTCATCAGGTTTGGTTTTTGCTTTATTTATGGTTGTGGGTTTTCTTTGTCTCCATGGTTCTGTCTTGTAGCTTGCGATTTCATTAGGAATTTCTCTGTAAGGTGAAAGGGAAGAGTTCGTTTTGGGTTTAAGAAGAAGAATAGTGTGGTTGAAAGAGAAAGAGGATATTTGTATTTGTGAAGGAAGAGAGAACACGAAGAGATATGCAATCTCTTTTTTTTGTTTCAATATATTTTCTCTTTTATTTACATTACTTGTTTTTTTTAATTAATTGCCACTTGTCATAAGCTGATTGGCTGGAAGTTTGTTTGAAAAGTCAAAACAACCAAGCTCTATTTTTCTTCTCATTCTATAAGGTGGCGCATGTTTTAAGATTAAAAAAATATAAAAAAAAATTAGTAAATCTTATATTTAGATTTAGTTTAGTATTAATTTAGATTTTTTTAATTAGTTTCAATTTCTTATAATAATATTTGTTTTTTTTAGCTTTATTATTTAGTTTAATTTAATTTGGTTATCATTTGAGTTTTAATCTTTATCTAGTTTAGTTACTAATTATAGAATTTTCATTTAGTTTATTTAATTAACTTTAGAATTTTAAATTTAATTTATAATTAATTTAGCAATTTTTACAATATTATTTAGTTTAGAATTATTTTAGTAATCTTAAGTTAAGTTAAAATTATTTTAGTAACTTTAGGATTTTATTTCATTTAGGTTTGACTTAGTAAATTTTAGAATTTTATTTGTTTTAGTTTTGACTTAGTAAATTTTAGAATTTTATTTGTTTTAGTTTTGACTTAGTAAACTTTAGAATTTTATTTTGTTTAGTTTTATTTTAGTAACTTTAAGATTTTATTTCATTTAGATTTGACTTAGTAAATTTTAGAATTTATTTTTAATTTAGTAAACTTTAGAATTTTATTTGATTTTATTTAAGTTAACTTTAGAATTTTAGTTGTTAGTTTTAGTTTAGGGACTTTAGAACTTTATTTGATTTAGAATTAGTTTAATGAGTTTATAATTTTTATTTGATTTAGAATTAGTTTAATAAGTTTAGAATTTTAGTTGTTTAGAATTAGTTTAATTTTCTTTTAGAATTTTATGTGATTTAGATTTAGTTTAGTAACTTTGGAACTCTTTTTGTTTTAGATTAGCAACCTTAGAATTTTTATTTAGTTTAGATTTAATTTACTAATTTTAAAATTTTTAATTTAGCTTAGATCTAATTTAGTAATTTTAGAACTATTTTTGCAATCTTAGAATTTGTAGTTAGTTTAGAATTTTTTTTAGTAAGTAATCTTAATTTTTTTTAATTTAGTTTAAATAACTTCTTTAGATAATTAGTTACATTCTCTTTTATTTTATTTAAATATCTTTGTCATTTTAATTTCTCGATGCCTTTAGGTCATTAATCTGTTTCGTTATATTTATTTTCTTGTGAATTTTGATTGCTTATATTTTGATGTCTATTTTATCTTTCTCGCTCGATTTAATCCAAGGGAAATTTTTCAACTCTGCTGACTTCATGTCATCAAATACATCTTCTACAATCGTGCGAATACCCTCATTCATTTTTTGCTTATTTACTATTTTTTCCAAACTTAAGATAATTTTCCCAAAAGACTCCATTTTTAAACTCATACCTTTTAAGTCAAGACTTCGACACTAGGTCATCGTATCTTCAAAATCTCGTCCATACCCATTTTGACCAAACAAACCATTTTAATCAAACAAACAATTTTAACCAAAGACAGATATTTCAAAAGGTTCCTGCGGAGTACCGCAGATGCATTGGGTGCTAATACCTTCCCATTGTATAATCAACCCCCGAACTCTCGATCTCTTTTCAAAACGCATTGTATTTTTTATTACTTTTAAGTATTATTATACATTGCATATTTTAGGGTTTTATTTCGCTCTTTTCCCTTTTCCCTTGGAAATAATAAAGCGCGGTGGCGACTCTTGCTTTTGTGAGTCAAGTTAATTAATAGCTTGATCTCCGATTTTCACCGCTACAATACTGACATGGTTGAAGCAATAGCTATATTAGTGCGACATATTTGTGGGTACCGGTAGCCTTTGAGTCAATCAAAGAGAATACGGGGCCGCTGAGTGATGTCATGAAGCACTAATGGACTTTTAGAACCTTTACTTGACCATATTGGCCTTATTAGGGGTAGTGAGATAACCGACTTTGGTACAGTCCGAAGTTGGTAGATACTCGATACTACACTCATTGAGGGTTATTTTCTTGGAATATTTTGGTAGCCAGTAAGTGGCTAAACTGAAATAATAAACACAGAAAATAATTCAGTGATATTGAGCTCCTTAGAACCCGATTACTATTTATAGGACAGGTTGATCCAACTAACTTCAAGAGGGTACATACCTATGAAACCCCATGCAATCCTGGAACTAGGAACTTGTGTGACTTGCTTGTACATATACTTGTGCATACTTCATGAACATCATAAAACATCATATGCATCCACTAACCATTTCAAGGGTTTGGATCTTCATCTTTGTTCCTGTTTTGTAGGTAATGGAATCTCTTCGCAGGAAAACAATTCAGGTTAACCTTGTGAGGATCCCTCCTTAACTCAAGGAGCTTGCTTCCAAGATTCCAGAGAATTATCTCTTCAGTGAAATACATGGTAGACTTCTCAGCTTGGTCAACTCCAACATTGAAGAAGACATGGTGAAAGTTCTCTTCCAGTTCTTTGACCCCCTACACCATTTCTTTACATTTCCTGATTACCAACTAGTGCCTACTTTGGAGGAATTTTCTCAACTCTTGAGGATTCCTATTCTCCATCAACTACCCTACAACGGTACGGAAAGAGAACCAAAGCCTGAAGATGTTGCTCAAGCCCTACACTTGCAACCATCTGATATCAAAGGTCATTGGGAAACCATAAGTGGTGTCAAGGGTTTCTTGGAAAAGTTTCTGTTTGAGAAGGCACAAGACTGCTGGAATTCTCTAGATCTGCAAGCTTTTGAGGAGATTGTAGCACTTCTCATCTATGGGTTGGTCTTGTTCCCAAACCCTGATCAGCTTATAGATGGGAATGCTGTCAAGATTTTCATATCTCGGAATCTTGTGCCTACATTTCTCGGGGACATCCTACACTCATTTTACACACGAACAATGAGGAAAAGAGGTGTTCTCATGTGCTGTACTCCTCTTCTAGCAAGGTGGTTTATTTCTCACCTTCCCCAATCAGTCTTGAAGAATGAGCAAGGCTTGAGGTGGTCACAACGATTGATGACTCTTACGCACTCTGATGTTCATTGGTGTTCTCGGTCCAGAGAAAATGTCATCATCACTGATCATTGTGGGGAATTCCCTAACGTCTCATTCCCTGCTTAGCTCTAAGACAATTTGGGTATGCCCGAAAGGATGGCCCTCATGACATGTTGATCCCAGACTTGGTTTTTGACTTCGACAACGACGCTTAAGGGCTTCGACAAAGGTTTATCCGAGCTTGGAGGATGCCCAACAAAGTGGATAATAAGACACTGGGACACAAGAATTCCATCCCCCTTGAGCCTTACCTCAAGTGGGTACGAACCTGCGCCCAGAGTCTTATGATGCCTTACCCCCACATTCTGCCTATGATCAAAGAGCCTGTTATGGAAGGAGAGGTTCAATACACCCTCCTACATCCTGACATGCCAACATCATTGGAATATTTGCAAAAGAGTTGGATACAACTCAAGGAAGAACAGAATACTTTTGAAGCCAGCTTCTACGCCAGTGAGAAGAAGGTTTTGGAACTTACCCATCAAATCCATGAAGAGTAGACTCTCAACACTTACATCGCACCAAAGAGGATGCGCGATGTCTTTTTACATTAGAATTTTGTATTGTTTTTGCCCATGGGGTATTTATGTACTAACAAATTATGTCTTATTAATATGACGTGCGTTCTTTTTTGTTTGCAACAAATTTGAATTTCTGAACCCTTGATTGTGTTACATGAATACACATCATTCATCATATGCATAAATAGGTCTTCACACCAGGTTTCCTTATCTCTCTGCTGTTTATTTCAGCAAGATAGATATAGAGCAGACTGTCAAAGATCTACAAGCACGGAATTCGCAGTTCCAACAACTCCCCATGACCTCGGCAAAGGGTCAATAAGACCTTAAAGCATTGTTAGAGAAGGAAAAGGAAAAAGAAAAAAAGAAAAAGAAAAGAGTTGGTGTGGCCACTTTGGGAAGAAGATTTGAGAACCAAGCTAGGAGAGTCCTGGATTTCCCCTCGACGTCTGATGAAGGGGTTGGTATAGGAAAAGGAGCTGCAGTACCTTCTGAGTCTGAGGCTGAAGAGGAAGAAGAAGAGGATGAAGATTACTCTGCGCAACAGTACCCTCTTGCGGATGATAAGTATAAGAATTTGGAAGATTGGCTGGCAGCCATGGAGGTACAAAGGGTACCTGGGCTGGATTTCGAAGAACTATGGGTGGTTGCTAGAATCGTCATTCCCCCTAAATTCTAAGTACCTACATTTTCTAAATACGATGGTTTGTCTGTCCCGAAGATGCATCTGCGGTCTTATGTCAGA